AAGTTACTGATATATGCTGCCTTCTGTTTTTACACTAGTGTCACAAATTGCTTCCATAGGAATAGCTAATTCAGCAGAGCCAAGACTATGTAAAGCCACTATTCTCATGATACTATTCAAACTCCTGTGCCTGATGCTAAATTTTTCAGTCAATTAATAATTACCACTGGATCGTGCCATTTCAATTTCAAGTTATTTTAATTGATTTAATTAATGACAGTAGCATCTATCCAATATTTATTGCCAAATCTAATACAAAAGTCCTGAAAATACATCTAGGCAATTCATGCTCTTGTTTTGCATATGCTTTGAGCTACCTCTTATTTAAGTTAAATAACAAAAAAAAAGGCCAAGTTCCAGTTTTAGTGTAGTGCCAATCATGAAACTCCTCAATGCAGTAGTGCTCCTTTTTTTAGCAATGAATTATGAATTTTTAATGCTAGCAACACTCTAAAATATATAAAGTGCTCTAAAACAAACTTTGCATGTGTTAATTAGTTTAACTTACTCTAGAACCTGGCTAAATGAGAGAAGATAAGAAGCCCATACTAGTTATTTCATCTGTTTTTACTCCATATTTTTAAACACCCAGAGAAAACAAATATTGTTTAATGATCAAAATATCTAATACAAACAAATTAGAATAACCATTCAAAGCTAGATTTGCTCTTAACACTACAAGCCAGATATGCAGGGCAGAATTGCAGCCAGAAACTTAAATATCTTAAGTAAATCTCGGAAATCATCAGCCCCCACCTTGCCCTACAACTGTTAGCAGCCTCCATCCCCTGCTCCTGTCTCAAACATGCTTTCTACCATCCTGTTTCTTATGCATGAGAATAAGTCTCTATCATCATTTGCAGGCAAGGTTCTTTGAGTAGATGTGATATTTTTTATTAGACCAATTGAGCAGTTGGACAAAAGTTCTTAGCAAGCTTTTGGGTGCAATCACCCTTCTTACAACCAAAAAACCCAGCTATCATCATTTGCAAACTTGTCACATTATCTGTTTTAAATCTTTCTTGAATACTTTTCTTTTGCTGCCATGCCTACAAATCACTCCCATCTGGCATTGGTTAAGGAAATGTCCAGATAAGACTTCTATTCTGATAATGTTATCAGCTTCATTACTTCATTATTCACCCATCTGCAACCTGTTTACTTGTCCTGTCCATTTTTCATCCTATCTAACATGGGGAAGTTTGCTAGTGGCTTCAGCCGGGTCATAATTTCACTCCTAGAGTGAATAAAGACCATTTTCTTAGTTACTTATCTGCACAGTAATCTGTACAATAATGGACTTCAGTCTTGACTTGGGTTTCTGGAGGCTACTATAATAAAATAACAACACAAAAGGGGTATGGATATCAGCCACATGCATATATATATAATCACAGAATCATAGGAAATTCGGGTTGGAAGGGAGGTCCTCAGGAGGTCATCTAGTCCAAACCCCTGCTCAAAGCAGGTCCATCAACAACTACCACATCCCAGCCAAGGTTTTGTCTGGCCAGGTCTTAAAAACCTCTAAGAGTTGAGATTTCACAACCTCTCTAGGTAGGCTGTTCCAGTGCTTTACTACCCTCCTAAACTTCCCTCGCTGCAAGTTGAAACCACTGGACCTTGTTCTGTCATCTGCCAGCACTGAAAACAGTCCAGCTCCACCCTCTTTGGAACCACCCAGCAGGTAGTTGAAGGCTGCTATTATATCCCCTCTCAGTCTCTTCTTCTCTTGATTAAATAAGCCCAATTCCCTCAGCCTCTCCTTGTAAGTCATCTGCCCCAGCCCCCTATTTTCGTTGTCTTCCACTGGACTTTATCCACAAATTATTTCCAATTTATTTACATATTTTCTGTAGTGGGGTCTCAAAACTGGACACAATAGTCCAGATGTGACCTCACCAATGCTAAATACAGGAAAATACATATACAGCTGTCTACAGCAGAGGCTGGCAACTATTTCAGGCAGAGGGCCGCTTACTGAGTTTTGGCAAGCCATTGAGGGCTGCATGACAGGCAGCCAGGGGCAGATAAATATTAATTTTCTAAATTTTTTAGGGGCCCTGCAGATAGAATGGCCTGGCAGGCTGCATCAGGCCTGCAGGCCACATTTTGCCCACCCCTAGTCTACCGGGTTCAAATTACATTTTGACTCTGGGGAGGGGGCGGGAGGAGGGGAGAATCTGCACAAAAAAAAACACAAAAACAAAAACAGTTCATTGATTAACAATTTCATCTAAGTGAAGGAGCCACCTGATCAAGTTACGATCTTTGAATTGTACAGGGGAGCTCTTGTCTCTTATGGGTGGGCTCAGCCCTGCCCCAAACACCTCCTTAATTTGCACCCTGTCTATCAATATCTATCTATTATTATCTGTATCTATCTATCTATCACACTGAAGGAACAGATTCCCACAATGCAATTTGCCCTAAAACATATTCATAATAAGGTAGTGTAAGAGTGATTATGTAGCCATGATGGTTCAGCAATTATGTGAGAGAAGGATTTCTTAGGGTGATATTTTTTATTGAAACAAACTGTGTGGTAGGATCAGGTTTCCCATGCAAGAACCTTGTCTGGTTTTGCATTTTTCCTGTCTGACAGAAGGAGTCTGGCTAATTACTTCATCCACGTCCTAATGTCTTGCATGGGAAAGCTTGTCTAACTCTACTGGATAGTTGGTCCAATAAAAAAAATATCTCCTTAAGTCACTGCCTCTCAGATAAGAAGGTCATAGTTACATCTAGGGTCTCTCAGTCCGGGTTCCCTATAAGCACTGTGCAAACAGCGAGTCAGAGGGCTCTCCAAAGGCTTGGGGAAGGCAGCATCGTCCACAACCCAGTCGTAGCGTGAACGGAGAGGCCCAGCTCTGGCCTTGTGCCCGCCACGCTGGGCTCCCCAGAAGTGCCGCTCTCCTAGCAGGCAGCAGTGGCTGCGCACAGATCCGTTGTGCAGGCTAGCACTTGTCCTCTCCTCTTGCAGCCCTTGAGGGAAAAGCTGTTTTCTGGGGGGGGCCTGGATGCTCTTTGATCTACTCTTTTGACCCCGTCTTTTCTCTGCCCCCCCACCTTGATAGACCGGAACAGATGCACCAGCTTAGGTCTGTGGGCACTTGCGCCTCAGCAGGCATCACTGAGGAACGCGAATCACCCACGCCCACGTGCAGCAAGGCTACGCGTGGCAGAGGCAGCACCCGAGATCCGCTGCCGCTGCCCCCGCTGGGCTCGGAGCACGCTCGCTGCAACCGCGTGAGCTCGGAGCCCCCGCAGGCAGCGAGCCGCTCGCGTTTGCCCAGGGCACGTGCACCCTGCCCGGCCAGGCTGCCCGCGCCCGCCGCCCCGTTACCTCAGCCGCTCTTGTTCCCGCTTCGGCTTCTTGGCTCGCGGCTCGTCCCCTGCCATCTCCACGCCCGCGTGCTGCAACCCCGGCTCGGCGCGAGCTCTCCGCAGGCAGCAGCGGGGCAGGGTCGGCTACGCAGAGCGCCTGATCCGGGGCGGCAAGCTGCCGCACACGTGCGAGAGGCCTCCCGCCGCCCCGAGGGCAGAGCTGCTCCGGGGGCCGCCTAAGGCCGAGCGCCCCGCGCCTGCACGCGGTCCGGGACAGCAGGCGGCAGGGCTCGCGTTTTCTGCAGGCAGTCACATAGTCACCTGCGCCGGTCGGGGAGGAGGCGTGGGGTGGGGGCCTCGGAGCCATATTTGCCAGCGTTGCGGGGGGAGCGGGAGCGGAGCCGGGTCGGGTCGGGTCAGTGCGGGCTCCGGCGCAGGTGAACGGGGTCGCACGGGGAGAGCTGGGGGCTGGAAAAGGAAGGGTTTTTTTTTTTTTTTTCCTGGTAGGCACCGAAAGCTGCTGCTGCTTCTGGAAATAACCTCCCTTTGTCCTGCCCGTATTGCTCTGAGCCTGGAAGTCCCGGCCTGGCTCGTCGCATTTATTACTTCATTAGTTAATGTTCTTGGAGGCTATAAAACGCTCAGGGTGGTTATGCTTTACTGCAGGGCTTTGGCCGTCTCCGGACCGAGGAGCGTGTGCTCGGGATAACCATCTGGGAAGTAGCAGGGAAAATTAACAAGGACATTTTATGTCTTCTGTTTATAAACGTCTGCCTCATTATGCGCTTTCATTTTGGCCGCGAAACCTTCCCTTTGTCCGTTTTGACTTAAAAATGTTGCCAGCTGGCAGCCTAGACTCGGTTTCATGAAGGAATTTAACATTGAAAAAATAGTGTATCTTAGTAATGGTGTGGCTGAGAGTTAAGGGGTGTATCTGACCGGCTTTCTTGGTCATGGTGTGGAAATAATACTTATTTATTAACTGGGTTGGTCCAGGTTTGTTTCTTAATGGAGTCTTTTACTGCCGTTGGCTTAAAGTTAAACATGAAAAGCCTCTTGTGCTGTAGGAGAAAACGGGAGGCTGCTGTGTTAAAGCTTCCTGTCTCTTGCAGTTTTACGGTTATGTGAAGCCCTATCCATGTCAGATTTATTTGGGATGTTTAATGGTAAAGCCTCAGTATTATGGTTAAGTTCAAATATGCAATGCTTAACTTTAAAATATTAAAGCAAGAGATTCTACATATTTAAAAAATAGCCTTAACTTTCTGATTATGTGTAAGCAGAAAATTTTTAAGTATGGAAATTGAGTCTCTGATGTTGAATTCAGACATACGAGAATGCCTGAATTGTTGGGGATCATAGTGCATTTCAGTTTGAACTGAGACTTAAAGGTTTTCAGGTGTCTGGAGCCTTTTGCAATTGATAGGAGTGAGATGATTAAAATTTTTTTGACACTTTAGGCCTGAATGGCTGAAAGTTCATTTGAAAAGTATTCCTCAGTTGGCGGATCTGTTGTTGTCTAAACCAGGGGTGGACAATTATTTCGGGTGGAGGACCTTTTATTGGGTTTTAGCAAGCCATCAAGGGCCATATGACAGGCAGCTGGGGCAGATAAATATTAATCTTCTAAATTTTTTAGGGGTTCTGCAGGCCGGATAGAATGGCCTGGTGCCACTTTTTGCCCACCCCTGGTCTAAACTGTGAAATGGGAAAACCAGACTTCTATGCAAAAACCTAAACTGCAATTTTGGTAATGGCAAGTTGTTTCATAGTATTTCAGGTAAGAACTTCCCTATCTCTCTCTCTTTTTTTTTTTTTTTTTTTT